CCAAAAAGGAAAGTATAACCAAAGATTAAAGGGGCCAATATAATTTCATAAGAGACCATATGTATACCTAAAGGCAACATAACAAGCAACAATGCCAGACAGGCGATACCTTCTTTTGAGTTGTTGGCCAGGGCGGCCAAAGGGATTCGCAGATAGTAACCCAGCATAGAACTGGGAAAATGAACAGCAGACCCCAATCTTATCCAAAGGAATATTGACAACTTATTACCACTAGATGAGGAGCAGCTGACCCTCCTAAACATAAAGACCTCTAGATAGGCTGACTAGATTCACCAGAAGGGCAAATAGTGGGGAATGGCTAGGGGTGCCAACACACAGCAGACAGTAGCAGGGATATCAGAGTATAAGGGCTCTAGTGGGGGGAGAGAGGCTATGGGAGGGTGCTATCTGGGAAGTGGGTGTAAAAATAAATTAAAAATAATAAAAATTAAAAAATTAAAAAAAAGAAGAGTCAAGGATTACTTAACAGCTTCAGATGAAGTTCATGTCCTCTGAGAACAAAGGGGTAGTTCCTTATCACCATGGAGAGAGTGCTGCTTACGCTCTCTGGAGATAGGTCACGTTCTAGTTCCAACAGTAAGTGATCCTTCTGCTCTGTGGTCAACCATTCCTTCACATTGTCCTTTTTGTGACTGATGGCCTATGTCTATGATGGGAATTTATTCACAATCTTAACAGTCAAACAGAAGTTTTTCCTCTTGAAAACAAGCTGGTTTATGTAGAAAGTAGATCTATGTTGGCTTCAAACTAAACAGGTTCAAACAGTAACACCATATAAAGCAGAGAGGGCAAAGAATCTGTGGGCTGTACTTCACCCACTAGCTTCAGGGGGCCACTTACAACTCAGCTTCATAATACAAATCTGACAGTATAAAGGCTGACATCATAATCCTACAAAGGTTCAGACATATGGTTGAACTTAGAGTATGACGTAAATACACAGAGCTATGCAGGCACCTGTAAGTGCTCAGCTCCTTTAATTATGACAGTCAGTATACCTGTGAACTGTCCTCCAGCTCAAGAAGTGTTCTATTGTCCATCGCCCTGCAGCTGCCCTGCTGCCCAGTAAGTCCCCCAGATGACATCCCTCGAGTTCTAACAGCAGAGATTTTTGCCTATGTTTGAGCTTCTAAGTTTCTCATTTTCTTTTACTTAATGTATTTTTAAAACTACTTAACTATCTACTATGAGTGAAAAAGAGTCTTATCACATTTAAAGGTAATTATTTAAATAATTTATATACGACTTAAAAGTATTTCATATCATACCCATCTATGTATCCTACTCAGGACAAGACTGGCTGGCATTTACATGCATTTAAAAGATCAAAATAGAATTCAAGTAGAAGTTGAGGCTTTCATAACAATACAGATAGCAGTATTTAGTTTTGCTATTAGTCACCTATGTGTCATTCTACTTTAGAGACTGTGTACATGTCTACAGTTTGTATCTAGATTTTAAAATTTATATTTGATACTTTATTCTACATAACCCGCTTTAGGCAGCATTATAATTTCTCGTTAGCTAAATTAAGGCACAGAGTTGATTTTTTCCTATGTTTCATTTAAGCAAAAGTATCATTACCCAGCCATTGAGATTACTGTACTATTAGCTTGTGTTTTATAAGTCACATTCTTTGAATTTGAATTCCTTGTAAGTCAAGAATTCAAGAACTTCACACGTTTTCCAGACTGTTAGGTTCATTCTTCCAAATGGCATAAATATTTAATGTTCAGCTGCCCTTCCTTTATAGGTACACCTTCCTTTAACTGAACTCTTTTCCTCACTAGGTTGTAGGTCCCTGGAGAGCAGAGATCCTTTTGTCTGTCCACCCCTTCAATTGTGATTTTCATACGTTGGCGAGCAAGTACAGGAAGGTCCTGTTAGGAGGCCTGTATTAAGTCTTTAGAAAGAACAGATGAAATATACTTAAGACTTACCTTAGATTGATTCATTTTAAAAATATCTTTTTATTCTTACTGATAGCTTTCAAATGAAGACTTTGCATGGTATTCCTCCTCAGTGTGGATGTCTACAGGGATTGAAATTAATAGTCTTGAGATTTTCATGTTATTTTTCTAATGCAACTTTTTTTTTTTAGGAAAGAGGACACCTTGGAGAGGAATCTTACTATTTGGGCCACCTGGAACAGGAAAATCCTATTTAGCCAAAGCTGTAGCAACAGAAGCAAACAACTCAACATTTTTTTCAATATCTTCCTCGGACCTTGTTTCTAAATGGCTGGGGGAAAGTGAAAAGTAAGTGGTATTTCAGAAGTTTTTTGTGTCCTCTTGCTTGGAAGTCACTGTGTCAGTCTATAAAGTAATAGGTTTCTTACATCATTAATAGGATGCTCAGAGAAGTAATAATAAAGGTATTCATTTCTCTGTCACCTCAATCCCTATTTGGAATTTATTTTGTAGGAAAGAACTACTCTCTGTGTGTGTGTGTGTGTGTGTGTGTGTGAGAGAGAGAGAGGTGTGTGTGTGAGAGAGAGAGAGAGAGAGAGAGAGAGAGAGAGATTGATTTGGTGAAGTGAACTATCTAGTTGTAATGTTGTTACTCTCTTCCCCGAAACATGATTAGGCCTTCAGTCTTTGTGGTTCTTGGAACTTTGGTATATTGCTTTTAGTCCTTTACTATTTTTTCAGAGGCTATAAGCTTTTTTTATTTTTATTTTTCAGGCTAGTTAAGAACTTATTCCAACTTGCCAGAGAGAACAAGCCTTCCATTATCTTCATTGATGAAATTGACTCTCTCTGTGGTTCAAGAAGTGAAAATGAAAGTGAAGCTGCTCGGAGAATTAAGACAGAGTTCCTAGTTCAGATGCAGGGTAGAGTACTGAACTTTACAATACTCTGCCTCTTAGAGAGCCATTAGTGTAACTGTGGGGAAAAGAAATGAAGCAGTTTCTCTAAAAATAATTATTGCCATGTGAATATAATCGTTCTAGTTGTCATTATCTTACAGGATTCACTGATATCACTAGTAAAGAGATGAATACTGCATAATGTACCAGGAACAACATATCAAAGAATATTTTGAAAAGAATATTAGTATTTGTCCATAAGCTAGATTTGATGCTTGAGAGTATTGCCTGATACTGCGACAGTATTATATTTGGTTAAATTGTTTTTCTGTAAAGGTGAACACTTTAGTGTTAAGTGTTGCATTTCTTAGAACATGAAGACAAATGAAGTGAAAAAATGTGGCATGTATATACATGGAATGTTTTTATCTACAGAGAACTAAGTTATGTCATTGCAGAAAAATGAATATACCTAGAGATAAACATACTAAGCAAATCAAGTCAGTCTCAGAAAGACAAATACCAAATTTTGTTTTCATTTGTGGTTCCTAGATTTTATAGAGATACGTAAAATTTTATGTCTATGACATTAAAGAAGAAACTACCTAGGTGAACAAAGGGGACTAACGGGAAAGGGGACAAAGGAGGGCTAGGGGCTGCTGGGGAATGTGCTCAAGGTACCATATGTACTCCTATGAAGATGTCCTAACGTAATACAGAACTGTGTATAATGAATATACATCAATGACATTTTCTTAAACATAAATTATCTTTAAAATATGTCCTATTTTAATGCAGGAGTTGGTGTAGACAATGATGGAATTTTGGTTCTGGGAGCTACAAATATACCTTGGGTCCTGGATTCTGCCATTAGGCGAAGGTATGATGTTAGAGTAAACATCTTATTTCTGACCACAGGTGTAACAAGAAAATGAGAATTCTTCTTTGCTTTCTATGGATGTACTCGTAAGTTTTCAAAAAAAATGTAATGTGCCCTTAACCTTTGTCTTAGGGAAGGAGGAATGGCCATTGCTTCTTTGTTAGCCTGCTATAATGAAGATAAGAGTTTTACACATGGGAATCTTTCACTTTGAAAAATACATTGCTCTCCTGTCTACCATTAGTTTTGATTTAGGGGGAATGATGCTTCAAAATGTACAAAAATTGTTCTGTATTTCAGTGAAAATCCTTCATGTAAATGCTTTGCTTTGTTTTTTGTTCTGTGGGGTGGGGTTTTTGTTGGTTGGGGGGGGTGTTTTGAGTGGAGTGAGACACGGTCTTACTCTGTAGCCTAGGCTCACCTCAACTCATAGCAACCTCCACTTGAGCCTTCCGAGTGCTAAGATTACTTACAGGCTTGAAGTACACTGCCTGGCTAGAAAGGAAGATTTTTAGTAAAAGAAATATTTATGTATGGTAGTCTGTACCTGTAATCCCAGCACTTAGAGGTGAAGGCAGGAAAATCAGGAGTTCGGGGTCATCCTTAGCTCAGTAGCAAGTTCTAAACAAGGGCTACATGAAACCCTGTCTCAAAAAAAAGGATATGTAATTAAGATGACCATGAAACTTCAGCTGTAAGGAACAGTATATAGGTTCTCCACATCTCTACAGATCTCTGTACTTAATTTTGCATGGGTAAAAATTTAGTTTCTGCTGCTTTTATTCCCTGCATTTATTGGTTTGATAGTGCGCTTGAATAGCATTCAGTACCAAGAAAGGAAATGTGTTAGGTACTTTTGGAAAATGTCCTAATTCCAAAGTTATCTCTAAAGGTAAGAGAAATCTTTTTTTTTTTTTTTGGTCTTTTTGAGACAGGGTCTCCCTGTATCCCCAGCTGGCCTTGAACTCACAGAGATCCGCCTACCTCTGCCTCCCGAGAGCTGAGACTAAAGGCGTGCGCCACCACGCCCGGCAAGAGAAATCTTTTTTAAAATATCTCTGCCACAGTGTGTTACCTGGAGAACAAAAGTGCAAACTCTTAAATTGTTCTTCATTGCTTCCTCTCCATCTCCAAATGCTGAAATTCTGTGAAGACAAATAAAATTATTATTAATAAAACAGTTTATTAATTATAACACAGGATTATTCAGAATAAACTCAAAAAGGGCATTTTGGACTTGTGTTGTTTTAATATTTTATTATTTTTATTTTATGTGTGTGAGTGTATTGCCTGCATATATCTAAGTGCACCCATGTGGTGCAGTGCCAAGAGGTCTGAAGAGGGTGTTGGATCCCCTGGAAGAGATGGTTGTTGGCCACCATGTGGATGCTGGGAACTGAACCTAGGTCCTCTGCAAGAGCAGCCAGTGCTCTTAACCCCACTTAACCACCTCCCCCCCCCCCCCCCCCCCGCAGGACATTTTGTATAATATTTTTTCTGTAAGATTTTGAGCAGTTTTACTATCTCAAATTTAGAGAATGATTGTCACCTCTATTTTATGTTCTTAAATTGCTAATCACTTAATCAGGAGTTCAGAGTACAGTCCTATGGGAACTGTGGTACTGGGGGCATATCTTTATGTCATGAAATCCAGACATGAACACACAGCCAGAATAATCCAAAACTGTGTGAGAAATAGTAAACCCCCAAACTTGACTCCTGCCTATTTTGCTCTTAGTTTTTAGTTCTCAGTGTATCCTATATAGTCTTCCCTTGTTATGCATGTATACTTAACTCTGGTTCATTGTTTGGTCTAGCTTGGTATAACTGAGAGCATCTAACTATCTAAGGGTTTTTTTTTCCTAAATAGTCTAATTTTTAATTAAAATTAAGCATATATTTTATATAATAATTGTCCCTTATATAATAATTTCTTTTATTTTAAGATTTGAAAAACGAATTTACATTCCTTTGCCTGAAGCTCATGCCCGAGCAGCAATGTTTAAACTGCACTTGGGCACCACTCAGAATAGTCTCCAAGAAGTAGACTTCCAAGAACTTGGGAAGAAGACTGATGGCTATTCAGGGGCAGATATAAGCATCATTGTACGGGATGCACTTATGCAACCTGTTAGGAAAGTTCAGTCGGCTACTCACTTCAAAAGGGTAAGCAATTTCATCTATCCTTTCATGGATTTTTAAAACCAGATTTCATGATTATATCATTGGCCTGTTTCCAAAGGAGTTGGAATGATTTCAGTGTTTTACAATAATGCAATAAGTGGGTTTATATAATAAATATATTTCTGTTCCATTGAAAATCATTTCTCCAATGAAGATTACTAATTTTAGTACAAGTATAGCAACTGAGGTGGTTCTAAATCTACTTCTGATATAGCCAGAAGAACCTTAAGCAGAATCTGGTACGTTTGCACCTTTCAGCAAAGTCATACAATACCAACTCATCATGCCTGGTACTCACATTGTCCTACTCTGCGCTCTGACCTTCATCTTACCACTCCATGTGACCCTCACAGAAGTGAGGAAGTACATCTAGCAAGTTACCAGTTGATAGTGAATCTGGGACTTGGATGCTGACACATTCTTCCCTGTGTATCACAGCCAGAATGGGGCAGAGGTGCAGTTTTTCCTAGCTAAGATGTATTTTACAGCCTGAAGTTACAGACGTTCTACTGTCCTGTGTTTCCCACACTCTTTTGCCCACATAGTGAGTTGAATATACATGACAGAGATAGCATTTGGTTAAAAGATTATGGCCTGTGAGTCCAACCTGACCTTGATGTAAAATCCTCTTGTTTCAGCCTTCCATGTGCTGGGATTGAGCTTGGAGTTTTAATATACCCCACATAATTTAACAACAGATTTAATAATTTGGACTAACCCCGTTGATTGAGGACAGAAGTATCTAAATATTATTCATAGTAATGCATTTGAAAATCCTGAAATACTGTTAGGAACTTAATTCCACAATCCAAGACAAATATAACATGAGTTACATATTTATGTCAGGCATATATCATAATAAAAAAATGCTTATAAGTTCTGAGTTTGAACTAGAACCTAAGTGAATCATAATTTACTTGTTATGTATCTCTGAGCAAATTGTATTACTTATTTAAGGTTCATCTTTGTCACCAAAATGGAGATAGCACTCTTTGAAGTGCTATTCTGAGAATGAGGTGAGATAATAGAACACTAAGCATGGCACTTGACTAACAGTTCTCCTCCCTTCTCAGCCATTTCATTGCTGCTGTGTGTACACCACTGTGTAGTGATCGACTTGTAGAGAGAAGTAGAGATCAGAATTACGTTTTTGCCATAGCCATCTTTTAAATTCTCTTTGACATTTAGAAACTATAAATTCTTAGGAACTCAGACCTTTCCTACATATCGTTCAGTTTTACATGTTACTACCAGGGACCCTGTATGTGAATATGAAGCCAGGTACTTATTCATAAAGGTAAAAGCAAACATCATTTCTAAAAATTATAATTACTAATGTATATTAATTGTACATATTAGTAGACTTCACTGTGACATTTTCATACATGGATATATCATGCTTTGCAGTCAGATTCGCTTTAACACCAGCTCTGGTTACTATCTATAGTAGATATCCCTAAAAACTCCATATTATTTTTAAGTCTTTTGTTTGATTAATTTTATGTCTCCAAGTGTTTTGCCTACATGTATGTAAGTGCACCTTTGTCAGGTAATGTCTGCAGAAACCAAAAGAAGGCATCGGATTGGATCCCCTGGAACTAGATAGAGTATTGTGTGGTTGTTAGCCTCTATGTGGGTGCTGAGAACGAAACCTGGGTCTTCTGCAAAAGCAGCCAGTTTTCTTAACTACTGAGTCATTTCTTGACCATCTATTTTTTTTAAGTCTGTTTCAGTTTGCAAGAATACATTTGCCTGTTGATTTATTTATAAAATGTGTAATGTACTAAATCTAGACCCAGCATTAAATCAGAATGTAAATAGTCAAAAAAGACAAAAAGCCTTCATCACCTCATACAGTTATTTTTGGGAGGAAAGACAGACATAAACATTAGAAAACTGAGAGTGAATGTGTATAATAAAGTGAGTATGCATGTGTGTGTATTGTGTGCAAAATCAGTATGCACATAGTATGAAAGCGGAGAGGTGTGCCTCTCTACACCTACACCAGTCCTGAAAGAAAGTTAATCATGAAATAGACTTGAAAGCAACCCCAACTTGATACAAATGTATTACCATCTGAATATTTGTATGCAGTTTTATTACAAAGGTTATTTTTCTAGATACTGCTAAAACCTTATTTTAAATAAGTTATTAAGTTTTTGGTAATAAAGATTGAATAATTTCTGACTTTGGAGAATTTTTGTAATATGTCTATTTTTTATCTCTGACTAATAAGCTTAATGAGTATTGGAGGAAGAAAAGAGAAAAGGTAGCTGATACTTCTTTTTTGAAATTTATGGTGCTCTTTTTTTTTGTCTTTTTGAGACAAGGTCTCTTTGTAGCCTAATTATGCTGGAATTATGGTGCTTTTTTTAACCTTAATGATCATATAAATTATTGTAGGAAATTTCAAATTATAGAATTGTGTCAAGACCCAGGTCAGCAAAAGCTACATAGTGAGACGGTGTCTCCAAAAAAAAAAAAAGAAAAGAAAAGAAAATGCATGAAGAAAAAAATGATTTAGTCAGAGATACTTTTCCTTATATATTCCATTTTTTTCCAAAGTAAACATTTTAATATAACATAAAAATTAATAGATTTTTTTTATGACCTACATCTTTATGCTTATTTTACTTGTTCAAGATAATTTTCAAGTTTCTGTGATTGTAGGTTCGTGGGCCTTCAAGAGCCGATCCTAACTGCATCGTAGACGACCTGCTGACACCCTGCTCTCCAGGAGATCCTGGGGCCATTGAAATGACATGGATGGATGTCCCTGGAGATAAACTCTTGGAGCCAGTTGTTTCTATGGTTTGAAATTTTGCTTGTTTTTAAAGAAATATTTTAAATCTTTGTATTTTGTCAAAGATCAGGGTTTCCAGCTATGTAAGACTCACTGGGAAGTGTTATAATCAGGCTTGTTTAATACTTGAGAAATTACGAAGATTAATTGAACTTAAATAGAGAAATTGTTATCCTAAGCTGTAAGGCAGTTTTCTGACCATTTAAGTGACTCCCAAAACACTCGTAGATACTGCATAAGTTATTGTTAGGACTTAAATAAAAATGAGTTTCCTCCTTGAATCTCAGAATTTGTAAATAATTAATATTAATGTTTATACTGTACTATTCATGGTATTTTTTTATTTCTCCAGGCTACCTAAAAAGTGTAAATAATGTAGGTTTTTACATTTTCATCTGAAAACTTGTAACTTTTTTTCTCAAAAACTATTAACTGAGTGGGCTGGAGAGATGGCCCATTGGTTAAGAGCACTTCTTTCTCTTGTAGAGGACCAGGGCTCAGTTCCCAGTGCCCACATCAGGAGCTCCCATTTCTTCTGTAACTCCAATCCAGGAGCGTCCAAGGCTCCTGTCCTCTGAGGGCACATGCACACCTGTGTGTGTACCCACACACTGATACACATACACACACAATTAAAAATAATAAAAGTAAATATTTTTAAAAGCCAGTCATGGTAGCACATGCCTTTAACCCTAGCATTTAGGAGGCCAGACATAGAGCTCTGTGAGTTTGAGGACAGCTCAGCCAGTTACACAAAAAAAACGTAACTGAGACTTTAAAAATAATTTGTTCTAGATATATCTCTGTAGTTTATGTTGGAGGAATTAAAGTAATTCATAAGATTTTATTTTGTAAGATGTATCTTTAGACCTTGGTGATTTATTATATTCTTATTTGCTTGCTGATAGATAGGAAATGAACATGTAATTCTTAAAATTTTCTGCTTTAGTTACCAGTGTTCAAAGAAAGAGTGTTATGATAGGTCTAACAGTAACTTTCAAAAAAGAAAATTTGCCTGCATGTACGTGACTGCACCCATGTTGTGCAATGCCACGGAGGTCAGAAGAGGGTTCGGATTCCCCTGAAACTGGAGTTAAGGATGGTTCTTAGCCGCCATGCGGGTGCATGGAATCGAACCTGGGTCCTCTGCAAGAGCAATCAATGCTCTCAGACCCACTGGGTGCACTCACTTACATGCAGGCAATACACAATACACTCATACACATAAAAATAATAAAATATTTTTTTAAAAATTCGATATGATGTTTAGATACAGATACTAGACATAGTTGTATATATAGTGTATATATAGATGTACATATATAGATGAATATATGTATATCTGTATGACTGTATAGGTACATAAATATATATGTGTCTTAGTTAGAATGCTTATCTGAGATTATTCAGGAATTACTTTTTTTCC